ATTATCTATAATATAAAATATAAGACACATATACANAAATAATTTAGTTTTCTGTGTATAAGCCGAACTTTACACACCAAATTATCTATAATATAAAATATAAGACACATATACATACCATATATTAAATATAATGCAAACATTTTGCCCATATAGATTTTCAATAAAATGAAAAAAATAAACTTCTATTAATTAATAAAATGAGTTTTACTACAAAAAATAAATTTTTAGTATACAACTCTATCAGATAGTGGGTGGTAACGAATGACAATGGTGGTAGTAAGTGTGATAGAGGTGGGTGATAATGGGTGGAGGCGATGGTGGGCGACGACGAGTGGTGGTGGGTTGTGATAATGGGTGGTGGTGTGCAACGATAGTGATGGTGGATGGTGGCGGTGGGCGACAGTGGTGGTGGGATGATGGTGATAATGGTAATAAATATAAAAATGAGATAATGATAACGATGGTTGGTGGCAGTGGACGACAGTAATAACAATCGATGATAATAACGACAATGGTGGTGGGTGGTGGTAATGATGGTGGTAATGGTGATGGTGGCGGGGTGGTATGAGTGATGGTGATAGTGGTGTTAATGAGGTGGTGTGGGGGTGGTTGTAGTGGCGGTGATGGTAGTTGTGGTTGGGGTAGAGGTGGTGGCGGGATGATGACAGTGGCGATTGCAGTAGTGGTAGTAGTTGTGATGGTGGTGGGGCAGTGGGAATGGTGGTAGCAGTGGTGGTGGTGGGAGTGGGGGTGAGGGTGGTAGTAATGATGGTGGGACAGTTGCAAACATTATTATTTTTTTTTAAAGTGATTATGAGAAGTTAAAAGTTAGAGGACCTATTTTTTCTATTAAATTTGGAGAGTTAATATTAACCATCGGATTAAACTTAAGGTAAAATTTAAAACGATCTTAATTGCGAAAAGCAAAAGTCATTATTTTTTATCTTTTGAGATTTGAGATAGTTAATGAAAACAAATTAGACCACTCTTATCCATGGGCTTCACAAAAATGTATAAATCTATATCTATATTTATACGACTTATAAATGTCAGCATGTGTGAAAAGTTTTTGATTTCTTATTTCACTCTTAATTATTACCATAAAACTAATTATACCCACATATTTTCCTATCTTTCATACCTACTTGACTTCCAAAATATTAGCTAGATAAATTTTATCTCTATGACTTGGTAGATAAACTTTATCAAAATATTACCTAGATAAACTTTATCAAAATATTACCTAGATAACTTTATCTCTATGACTTGATAGATAGTCTTTATCCCTATGACAACACATTCTTTCTTTTCTATTCAATTATACAAACTCTACTAGAATTCTAATATTACATATTGGTAATTTTTAGGTGATATATATATATATATATATAAATTTTATCTCTATGACAATACATTCTTTCTTTTCCATTCAATTGTACAAACTCTACTAGAATTCTAATACCATATATTGATAATTTTTATGTGATACATATATATATACACACACACACACACACACACACACACACACACACACATATATATATATTATTTTGTCTTTCCTACTTATTAGACATAAGTCTAATAAGTAGGAAAGACAAAAAAATATATGTATATGTATAGTCATTTATTTGAAATCCTATGGTCTTATGCTCTTCTGTGACAAACTCAGTGAAATCGAAGTTGGAGTTTTTGGCATAATTGAGATTAGTTTATTAATTCTTCTTTTTTAGTTTATTAATTCCTATATTTACGTTAAATTCCTAGTACTTAATTTAATGTCAAGCAACTTTCTAAGAGATGGTGTGACAGGTCAAATATTCGGCATAATAATTGAGATTAGTTTATTAATTCTTATGTTTTAGTTTTTTAAATTGGTGTGGTAAGTCGAGTATTCGGCATAATTAAGGTTAGTTTATTAATTCTTATGTTTTAGTTTACTAATTCCTATATTTACATTAAAAAATTTAATATTAGTGTTTAGTTGTTTTATTACAACCTCTCATGAATCCAATTTTTCATTGCTCATATAACTAATATTTTGAAAACTTGTTCAAATCTCCTATAATATTGACCTAATTATTCATAATTTTTGAATTGATGGTAAATTCCAATATTTATTGAGACCAAAAATCAATCCAATAATAAATAAATTAAATTCAAATAAAACCTGAAATGGAGGAAAATAGCTTAAAAGTCAAAAGCATAACCTGTTAATAAACAAGATGCCACATAGAAACTATGCGGACATTTATTGAGACCAACAATCAATCCAATAATAAATAAATTAAATCCAAATAAAACCTAAAATAGAGAAAAAAACAACTTGAAAGTCAAAAGCATGACTCGTTAATAAAGAAGGTGCCACATATAAACTATGCAGAAACTACTTAAGACATGATTTGCCTTTTTTTTTTTCTCTTCAATCATCCACACAGAAATCTTCTAAAGATTATATTAACAAGTCTAGGAGAACAGTAAACAGAAACGTAAATCATGAATNGTCTTTTTTTTTTCCTCTTCAATCATCCACACAGAAATCTTTTAAAGATTATATTAACAAGTCTAGGAGAACAGTAAACAGAAACGTAAATCATGAATGAGAAAATTCTACACAAGAAATCATAAACAGGGCCTTAAGGATCACAAATGTGGTTAACATAAAAATATCTAACATAACATGGTAAGCACCACATAAAAAATTAATTAACAGAATCCAAAAAAAAAATTACTACAGAAAAACATACTAACACTCTAAAAATACTTACGAATTAGAAATGACTAAAACTGCAATTTATAGAGTTCACATAAATAAATTCATTTAATAAAAATTTGTTCATGATCAATGAATAAGCAAGACTAGAAAATTAACTTACAGTCAAACAATCTCAAACCTATTTGTTAAATTTTGTAAAAGAATGATTGAAATCGATTCAAATCTTAATACTCTGTAATCATATTTATTAAACTTAATTTTTCATTACTCATATTCTATTATAGCATTATAAATAAACATTGTATGTTCCAAAATTCGTTAATCTAACTATAAGAAAAAAGATTTTAAAAAATAATTAAAGTTAGGTACCACACAAAAAAAAAACATTAATGTACTATGTACCATGTTTTTGAGTATTTTTTTTTTATTGGCTAAAATTTATCAAATTTTGAGATTAAAAGAGAAAGTATCTTTTTTCTTGGTATTTTAATTATTCACTTACCTTTACAAAAAAATAATTCAATTTTGTTACTCATCAACTGTGTATTTCAAATAAATTTAATAACAAATTAATGAACTAAATTTTTTTCACGTGCAANCCGTGTATTTCAAATAAATTTAATAACAAATTAATAAACTAAATTTTTTTCACGTGCAATTTACGTGTGCATTGCTAGTATACCTAAATAGGGGCAAGAATTGGATATATCAATCCATATTCTATTTAGATGGCAGCTGGGTTGATTTGGATTAGATAGAAATGATATTTTTTTTAGATATCCAATCCACTTCATACTTGTCATCCAAACATAGCCCAAGTCTCATAGATTTAAGGGCAATCTTAATCGGAACATTTGGGGTATGAATAAAGTAACAAAAAAAAAAAAATTACATTTGGGGTATGAATAAAGTAACAAAAAAAAAATTACACTATATCGACTTGTTTATATATCGGTTATATATGATTTATATAAGACACGTACCCAATATGACACAATTCGTTAGACATAAATTAATAAACGAATATAGTATGAATGACTATTTTTTGACACGAATCCTTTAAAACTCGATATAAACGCACTTCACTTAACACGATTGATAGACTTAATTGTAACAATTAAATTGACTATGGATCCCAATATTTGATGGAACTATCACCAAAATTGCTATGTGGGTGGTAAGACTCGATTCAGATTGTGAGATGAAAAAACTTATATTCATCTTCCAACGGTCGACTTTGCTCCGGTGAGTTACACTTGCCTCCTTCGAATTTATGTTATAATCTCTGCTTCATTTTGCTTGGTGGTTTGAAAATTTCAATCAAAATAATTGATTACCATTTGGTTATGAGTTTGAATCCAGATATGATCTCAATTCTAAAATATAGAAATTTACGACTAATTACATCATCTCTCATCAAAATTTTTGAGTCTCGACGAACGTTCAGTAGTCCAATTAGCGCTGTTAACTTTCCCATGATTATCCACTGCATTCTATCAATTTGTCTTGGTCTCGCACTCTATCCCAATGTGAGATTTGGAGACTCACAAAGGGCACTGATGTGTTGGTTCTTACCTGATCATCAGTCCCTCGAACCTCGAGTCACTTGCATCAATGAAACCTNTGCATTCTATCAATTTGTCTTGGTCTCGCACTCTATCCCAATGTGAGATTTGGAGACTCACAAAGGGCACTGATGTGTTAGTTCTTACCTGATCATCAGTCCCTCGAACCTCGAGTCACTTGCATCAATGAAACCTGTAGAAACCCATCTCTCAAATCAATCATTTGGGCAGTTTAGATCAGTAATAAGATATGGTGGTTGGTCACCAAAGTTACATGTGAGAAAGGGAAGTCGTGTGCCTGGACCAAGCGTCAAGTGCTCTAAAGGAATACCATTTCAATGTATGCTTTGATGAATCAAATACTTAGAAACCTTAGGACTATGCTCTGATGAGCCAGTCTACAAAGAAAAACGATACTTGCTGTAATTCGACTTCTTCCAAACTTCTCAATCGAGAATCTAAAACATTGAAATCACCTCCTTCGAAGTAAAGAACTTGAGGGGGTAAACAAGGTAAAGCGGCTTCCTTTGCGCTTTCACCTCATAAACTCAGTAAAGCTTTATTAAACAAATGAGTAACTTGACTGTGAGAAAGAAGGTGGGGCACTAAAAAAATGTTTGGATGCATCATTCTATATAGAACCTTTCAGGGTTCTTCGAACATCAGAAGTAAGTATTTGTAAGCCTACTTTACAGAAAAAAGAAAAAGTACTGAACCTCCATAAGACAAGAACATATACATGTACACATACCGTCACAATTAATTTGTCATCGTTGTTGGATAGTCCAAAAAAAAAGGAAGAAGAAGAGCTCCATTTTAGGCAGGTGCACATTCGTACACTAGTTTAACTCACTGTTATACAGGGTATACACATATACATAGAGACATCTACACATGCATGTAAGCTATCTGAATTTGACATTACAGGCTACATGGATGCAAACTATATGCAAAATCAGGCATCCAGTCACAGGAAAATGCATGTTTTTTTATTTTTTTTTTTGTGGGTTTCCATATGATATATTCAATTCCCCATGTACGTAGGACCTCTTAGTTGAGCATCCCGCTGCAATTGCCATTCTCTTTCTTTAAGATATTGCAGAAGGTGTGGCTGCTCAGCTTCCAGGTCTATACCTGCAGGTCCTGTACCACATCCATAAGGGGATTGCCTTTGGTAGCCAAGAAAGAGTTTATCCCTGTTTAGTTCTTCCAGATGATAAACAGGAGGTAAACCTGGATGCGATTCTGGGCTCTCCAAATATACCATCCGGCTTGAAACCAAAGGATTTCCCCATCGATTAAACAGATCAAACCTTGAAGTGTCATGACCATTGAAGTTTCCAATATGTCCAGGTGGATTGACTTGAACTGGTTGAACATGGTTATTAACTAGCTCGTGATTGCGATTGTTTGCATACTGATAAAGCCATTCAGAAGAACTCATTCCAAAAATTGGTGGGTATCCACCAATGAAACCTGGTACGGCAGGACCAGAATCGAATGGTCTATGTGCTACAGACAAATTTGAGTATCCACCAACAGGTGATGCACCAAGAATACCATCAGCTTCCTTAATCCCCACTGTGTTTTTGCTCTCAGAAAAACTTGAATTGCTCCTGAACCAAACAGCTTCATCAGGTAATAAAGGGGCAGAGGGCACTGGAGCCACATATGGAGAGGAGTTGTTGCGGGTTATGGGAGAAACGTGCCCAGAACCAGTTGCATTGTCCTTAGCTTCGCTGATGGAGAGAGCATTCAAGGATGCAGAAGGTACTTCCTCAATAGGGCTCAACAAATGTTTATTATAATCCATTGTTCCTTTCTCTCTTTCAAGGTTCTGACCGCTATTGAAGACCCAACCACTGAGCGAGGGAGGTCCTGCAGGATATGTTGCTGAATCCTTCAAAATAGGTTCTTGCTGCTTCAATGGCTTGTTGAATCTAACATTAGAGGTGTTTGAATGAAAATTGAAGGGATCAGTCTGCAATTGGTTTTGTGCTATAAGCAATGATGTGGCACGGCGCAAGCATTCATCAGAAGGTGCTGCATGCTCCTTTGTACCTTCAGTAGAACTTTGATCATTTGTGGTGATGTAAGTATGAAGTGGTTCTGAATTATATCTTGTGAGAGGCTTGAAGAGAATGACTTCCTCATCTTCCACATTGAGAGATTCAACATTTGTACTAGGTTGTTTTTGATGCTTCCCATTGACTTCTTCCTCATTTTCTTTTGTGGTTCCACATTTATGCTGNGCGAGAGGCTTGAAGAGAATGACTTCCTCATCTTCCACATTGAGAGATTCAACATTTGTACTAGGTTGTTTCTGATGCTTCCCATTGACTTCTTCCTCATTTTCTTTTGTGGTTCCACATTTATGCTGATGGGGCTGTTTACCTTCATGAGAATAACTGCATGCCGCTACTTTTGTTTCTCCTTGGTCTTGAAATTTCACTGACTCTGCTGTATAGAATTTTCTTCCCAACTTATCATAAAAGATCCACTTTTGAGAACCATTGGATCTGGCCACCAATTTCATCGCAGCATGAAAGATACGATGGACACGACACACATTCATACTATCAAAATTGTCCATACAATCCCCATGAATAGTGAAATCCAATGGCAGATGTGATTGGGCCACGGGGGCAAAGCCCCTCAACTTGTACTCTTCCCAAAGAGCAGTATGATAAACAGACTCAACTTCATCCTCATTGTTATCAAGTCGGTTCAGAAGTTCAGCAAAAGCACCAAAAAAGTAAGACATTGCACAGGTAACTTTTTCATCAGCGCAATACGCTTCTGCTTTATCAAGCATGCCAACCAACCACTCTATGAACACTAGCACAGCTGGTAAAAGGGAGTTGAAGTCCAGAAGATTATCCGTTAGACATCTATCAAGAAGGCGACCCATGCAAATGAATGTAGCCGTCCATGCCATTTGGATCAATGCAGACTGCTTCATATCCTTTTTAAGTTTTGGATCCTTTAGTTCTGGGCCTTCAGTCGGACAATGGATGACGAAGATCAATATGGAAACAAGTTGAACAGCTCGATAAGGGCCTCTTCGAACGGAATTCAGATGTTGGTAGCACTCTAATGACGCTTTCAGTTTTGTATCATCTAGAGCCAGCAAAGCTTCCAACTCTCTCATGGTGGAAGCAAACACACCAGGAAAGTCCTTCAAACTGCATCACATATAAAGTTGCACCCCTCATTAAAACTCAAATTAAAAATTTCAAACCTTGTCTAAACATCAGAAAGCAGTTATTATTCTTCAAATATCATAGTGGCAATATCGTGAAATGTAAATGCTTAAATGATATTTTTTTCATGAAATTTGTCCTAAAATCATTTTCCTAGTCTTGATTGGTATCAATCATTGCAGCAAGGTCAAGCAAATTATACATCTTGTTACATGTATATGAGTGAGGGGGTACATTTGTAATCTTCCTCACGTGTCTGTTTATTCCAATTTTGATCCAACACAAGTGAATGAATACTTTTTTATTACCTTTGTTNTAGTCTTGATTGGTATCAATCATTGCAGCAAGGTCAAGCAAATTATACATCTTGTTACATGTATCTGAGTGAGGGGGTACATTTGTAATCTTCCTCACGTGTCTATTTATTCCAATTTTGATCCAACACAAGTGAATGAATACTTTTTTATTACCTTTGTTTTTTCAGTCTTGCCTATTATTTATGTAAATACTGAAGATATTATCTTAATACACAACACCTTACATTAAGTGAGACTTTATAAGGTTCTGTCTTCTTAAAAATTCCNAAATATGAGTTATCTTAACACACAACACCTTACATTAAGTGAGACTTTATAAGGTTCTGTCTTCTTAAAAATTCCAAACGACCTTAGGATGAGTTCTTTAATTTTAAAACCACTTGAAGAAATATTCTAAAGGATCCTAAAAAAGGTTTTTAATTTAAACTTTCTTCAAGGGACATTCTAAAAATATACAAGGTATAAGGATATAAAATAGACCTAAAATGTTCTTCTACATATTAAAAGACTAGATATTTGCATAAAAGATTCTAGAGACGCTATAAATGTATAACATTTGGCAAGATGATAGTCATTCATGGTAAGACGAATGACCTATAAATAGGTGAAGGGTTTCATTTGTAAGAAACAAACAATCAAGTCTGAGCTTAAATTCGAGTCATTTTTCTTCTGTGTCAGAATTTTTACTTTATTATTATTGTTTTTAGTCTATTCAAAATCCTACTAACATTCATCATGTGAAAAATTATTTTGTTATATTAATAAATTTTAATTCTTTTTCTCTATATTTTTAACTGATAACAAACTTTATTATATTTTGGTCTACAAATTCAACTTCAATTAATGGAATTATATACGAAAAATTTGAATGCAAAATCAGAATTTGTATTTTTACATCTCAAAAATAAGAAAAATAGTTTTAAATATATAATATTAATATTTGAATAATTATTTTGTCAATATTATATTGTCATGGGCCTCATTTAATATTTTCGACCAGGGCCCAAATTTGGGTGGGGCTGGCCCTGATGAGATATTAGGGTAGTCAACCCATTTTTAAGAAAAAGAGGTAAGGAACAAGTTTATATAATTTTGACCAAAACCCATGTATAAGTTAATAACACGATTTCCAAATATTTTTTCACATCAAAATTATTTATAGAATGATAAAAAAACCATGTGAGAATACTGATTCCTATAAAATCTGTGCGTGTCTGCATAAACATGAAATGAATGGTTATCCAACAGTATTCAGTGGTCAAAAAAGAGTGGTCATCCAACAAATAAGGAGCTATAACAATCTCCTAATTCCAACCATCAAGGCCTCCAAAAATAGAAAAACAAGAAGTAATAAATAGATACCCTCCAACTATCAACGCCTCCAAAAATAGAAAAACAAGGATTGATAAACGGTGCTCTTCAACCATCAAGGCCACCAAAAATAGAAAAACAAGGAGGGATAAACGGGTACCCTCCAAAATAGAAAAATAAGGAGTGATAAATGGGTACCCGATAGGTTAAATCAGGCTTAAGCAATACCTTCTCATTTTGAAGTTACAAAATGGCAAAAGGACGAAGTGCATTACATAATGTTAGTTCCACCAATCTAAGGTGTTGCACCAGCTAGACTGGATACGACTGAATTATCTCGTATAATTTGCATGAAGTGAGTGAAACCAAGACATCTAAAAACCTCACTACCACACACCTTTCTTTTTTTGTATTCATGTCCTCCACCCCTCCTTCAACAAAGAGCAAGAGACCAAGTAACAACTAAATCTCTCTCTATCCCATCATTTCTCTAAATATTCTTATTTTGGTCCATGAATGTGTCTTCGGCTTGTGTTGATTCTCCTCCTCATGGTATTAGCCATGAACGTAGAGACATCATCAATTACTAATGATGTCAGCTGGAATTCTTGTGCCCATTACAACATCGATTCACCACCTTCCCACAACATCGAGAACTGTAATGGAAGAGTAGGTGATTGTATCGACGAGGCTGAAGAGATGATGATGGATTCTGAGGCTAGCAGGCAAACACTCGCCCTTGGGCAAACGTTTGTCAGCTATAGAGCCTTCAAGAAGGACCATGTTCCATGTAATCATCGTGGCTTATCCTACTATACATGTAATATTAAGGGAAGGGATTTTCCTTAAAGATCTAATTGCTAGATTATGTATATTAGCAAATCAATAACAATAAATGCATCATAGATTCATAATACTGGAAGCAAGCCCAAATATCTTGGTGTTCTAAAATATTGTGCAGTTTAGGGAAAATCAATTAGTGTTGTTTTGATTGACGGAATGGGGTACATACCAAAAATCCATTCAATAAAACATACTTACGATCTGAATACATGACAAAGAGTTTTATAAAGCAGCCAACTTTTCACTTACATATGTTGGGCTACTAAAATCACCACAAAATTTTCAGATCACACAAAAGAGAATTCATTCTCATCATGCAAAAATCACCGGAGTTTGTTTTATAGGTGCAACTATAGTGAGTTTATCATCCAGGAAAACACGATGTTAAATGAGGTTGCAGATCAAAACAGCAGTAAGATTACAGTGATGATACACTGGTACATAAGATGCATCACTGGAAAGAAAAATAATGGAGAGGAAAATCAAGATTCAACAGCAATGCAGTTTGATATATGCCTACACAAACAATTAAGACATCATTTGATATTAAAAGGATGATATGTTCCACCAAGTACCTGGATCTTACAAAAAAGAAACTTATCATTCTGACAAAAAGAGGCCATAAGTCAGTTTCTCCAGAGCACACATATTCAGCAGCTTCCACCTTATTTTTGCTTAAGGAACCACTTCTTGTGTTTGACTTCATCCACGAAGAACTTCTCTCAGATGGTTTTAAGAAATCAAAGGCAGCCTCGGTGGAAAGCAAATGCAAACAAGATGAACTGTTCTGCACCATAATAAAGAAAAACAAAGCACCACTGAGACTAATAAGAAACACGTCATAAATCCACCACAAGCACAAAAGATTACTTAAAAGCAATATAAGGTCCCCATATTATAAGGTAAGTAAAAGGTGATAATAACAATTCTTACGGTTTCAAAGAGTAACTTAAGATTATCCCAGGCATCAGGAAAAGGTTCTTTAACAGCCAGGCTTCTAACACAATGGTACAAGGCAAGAAAATCATCGCCAATGTATGTTGCCAATAACGCCAGCTACAAAAGAAGTTAGATGATCAAATGTTACCAATGAAATAGAAATGCTCCAAGCTTCATAAAATTTCGTTTCTTGTGAATCAGCAATAATCAGATCCCACAGTAATCAAGACAATAATTTTTTTTGGTGGCATTTACCTGATTATGGGGGTTCCCACTATCTGGCCAGATCATTGTTGCTTCTAAGTAGTAACTGGCTGCAAGTGACCAGTCACAGTTCTGAATAGCAAGTTTTTTACAAAGTTCTTGGTATCTAGCAAGATCCCCAAGGCAAACATAAAAACGATGACATGAATATCTATACTTGAGCAATTTTGCAGGTTCAACAGAAACTGAGCCACCATCCATCCTATACAACAAAGGTTCCTCGGGGAGCTCATAGCATCTTCTCAGTTCTGTGATCAAATTTTGGTAGTATTGAGCCGCTTCAGACAGAAATGATTTGAATCCTTCCATATGATTGTCAATGATATTTTGCATACTCGCAACATCTTGTGGAGTTCCAGATCTCATATTCTCATCAGCAGAACTTTGCCGTATTCTTTTACGAAATTCATCAATATGCTTGTAGTGAAGCTTCCACAAAGAATATTCCACATCTTGAAATTCCACCGTTTCATGGTCATTCAAGATGATGTCCTCATAACCATCACGGACTTTGCGGTACAAGGCTTGAACGTCTTCGTGCAATGGACCTTTTGAGTTAATCAATGCCCACAACTGCTTTTCTGCATTGGCAACCTGAAAAGAGAACAATTTCAGTGGCCAAGAATTTCACATTCATATTGACTCTGCAGATAAAAATTTATGAATAAGAATTATATTTAAATACAAATGCTTCAAGGGATCACCTCGACAAGATGACTCTGTTCTTCTTTCTGATCTTCAAGGATGTTAGATGCATGAACACTCATGATTTCCACTGAAGTGACTGAACAGTTCTTCAATTATACCCAATCTTCTCTTGTATGGAGGGCATATGCCTGCATTGGTGACTTTTTTATTTGTAGAAACCACATTTACTGATGCAGGCTACAAACTGCAGACAAACATGCTCATAATGTTTGGATAAAATGCTATGGAATTTAATGTATTTTGATAATTGTGGCCAGTAAAAGTCGAAGTATAAATCATCCCATTGTTGGATAAAAGTTCTACATTTAAACTAATGACATTCTAACTCCAAACTAATCAAAATGTGCAGGCATCATGATTCATTTACCGTCCATTTCGTGACTACAATTATAGGGTTTTCCTTGCTGTCTTTGATTTAAAAATAAATGTTGACGCGGCAAGCCTCATTGCCAAGTCCAATGAGTATCCAAACTCTCAAAATTACCTAATTATTTGAACAACATTTGGTCACAATACATAAAGGAGTACTTTCGTTAAGAAGCTTTCCTTTTGCACTCAACAACAATTGTATGTATTTTGAGCTTAGTTATACAACTATATGTAGAAATGGTCTTAAGTTTGATTACTACTAAAATTCGAAATAAAATGAAGAAAATCAGTGCACCAAAGCTAAATCTCAACTTAAGGTCACGGTTTTAAACCTTAAATCTCAACCGGGTTCTGCAACATTTTTGAGTCACTATTATCTAACCAAGAAATATAAATGGGGTTTTTCAATCAAAATCAAATAAGCCACTAAGAAGATAAGAAGATGATCTTCATCATCATCATCCTTACCAAATCATAGCAGAGAAGAATGAAACAAGCGCTTCACTTGCAACCCAATTCCAATGAAACCTATTAACTTGTAAGGTAGACAAATCGATCCATCAAGCACAAAACAAAAATTCACACTATCCATGTTAAAAAATAACTAAAATTAGAAGATTAGGTTTTTTTTTTTTTTTTTTGCTATTGAAAAGGGGAGAGGCCAGTAGGTAGTAACTCCTTGGGCGTGACCATGAGAGGCCCCCAATATAGAATATCCGATTTGAGCCATAACTACTAATCGTCACCACACCACCACTAGCACCACTAAAGCCATGGAGCAAAGCATGTTACTTCCATGAATCAATCCTTACTTGATAACCATATGGGAGTTAAGAACGACGCTAAACTAGACCACCAGCGCAGGGTGGTAATTAGAAGATTTGTCAAAAATGGAGAGACCGTACGTCTAATAATCAACAAACAAAGCACATACAAAATGCAAAATTGGAGAGATATTGAAAATTAACAATAATTACATCCAACTAAACTCAATTAATAACAGTTTAGTCAGCAATATAACATCAAACAAAGTCAATTTAATCAGAAAAAAAAAAAAAGAAAATTGAACTAGATAAAGCAGAGTACCTCAAGAATCTGCAAAAAGACTAACGATTAATTGTGACCATTTAGTAAATTCACTACAACAATATGAAGAAAACAACTGAGAGCAAAACCAGCTAAGAACAACTGAGAGAGAGAGAGAGAGAGAAGCGCGGGGAAAGGGAGATGCAAGAATGGAAAACCGGCTTTGGCCACTTTGACTTGTTCATAGTTGTGAAACGGACAAAGGCAAAGGTGGCTTGTCTTGATGAGCTAAATCAAAAGACTATTCTACCCTTCTTTCTTAGCATTTTTTCATGTCATAAAGTAATAATTAAAGGGGAAAAAGATTAAAGTGGACTTACCGTCATGAACATTTTTATCTGTGGAGGATCCCTTCTGATCCACGCTTCACTTATGGAATAGATTCTATTTTTTTGCATCATACTAATTTATATTTTATTAGGGGTATTTCGTATATGACAATATGATATAACGTAAGTACTAAGTGATGAATTTGAAGAGAAGAAAAAATTNTTTTTTTGCATCATACTAATTTATATTTTATTAGGGGTATTTCGTATCTGACAATATGATATAACGTAAGTACTAAGTGATGAATTTGAAGAGAAGAAAAAATTAAATATAAATAATTTTAAAAGAGATGTTTAGGAGTGTTCATAGGCCGAGTTATTTATGGGTCTCATTACCCAGCCAGATAAAATAGATATAATAGTTGACTCGTCCGAATTCGAGTTCAATATCCTTAAAAAGAGAATTTGAACTTTCCCCAAACCCATTATCCGGCTCGAAACTTGACTCAATAGCTCGTCCACAAAAATCCATTAAAACTCTGTCCAAGAGCCCCTCACCCAGCCCACCCACTCTTTATTTGAAAAAAAGTTAGACTCTTAGTCCGTTGAATTTGAAACCTTTTTAAACAAAGAAAAAAAAATTTGACTCATCGAAATAAGTCCCCCCAACATTAGAATTTGAAGTTTTAGAAATTTAGATATTATAAATAATGCATTATTTTTTTTTCATATATTAAACATACACGTTTTAAAGGGTAGAATCATATGATAAATAGGTGGGTAGATATTAACCTAGTTGGAATGTGCTTATTCTGTTATGTAGTTTCTCCCTTATTCAAAAATAAAATTATTCATTATTTATTTTTTGTCTATTTTGACTTTACATTTGATTCAAAAATATAATTTATAAAAAAAATAAGTTACAAAAGTATCATTATTTTTAAATAAAGTTATATATAAAAAAAATCACAAACAACCCCACCTAACTCGCCTAGCAAGGCTGCTCACAAGCCTCACACCAATAGGCTCACAAGTAACTTGCCCTACTCAAAACCTGGCTTAACCCATCCAATAAATCATGTGGGTATGGGTTTGACCCTACCCTACTCAGACCCAGCCTGAAAAAAAATTTGTGAGCCGAACTATGGACATCCCTAAGAATGTTGGTGGATGTTGAATGAATCTATTTGAAACTATTGAATAAGTTTATTAAAGCTTGTATTATTTTATATTATAGAAGATTAGCGAGAAATGTTGTATTGCCCAAATCAAAATTTTAATATTTTATCTTAAACATGTTTATGCTCGCATATTGAATGCAAGATTTTTCTTTTTAAATCCCACAAAAAAATATGTGTGGTGCACACCCGTTTGAGATATAAAATTTGGGTTTTGGTTTGGTTAGCATAACAGTGCTTTGTATTGGCAAATAGAGTGAAAATATTACACAATTTAAATAAAATTAAAAAATTACAACTCAAATGCATATTATCTATTGGATGAATAAGTTTTATTGAAAAAGTTGATTGGATTCTCTCATCCAATAAATGCTATATATTTGAGTTAAAATTTTTTAAATTTGATTTATCAAGTGACCGATTATCACTCGAACTAACCCGGTTGGGGTTGGGAGCATATAAAATTAGTGCAATGTTTTACAAAAAATGGTGTGGAACATGTTAGTACAGAGCTATGTGCCCCCATTGGTGGGGTGTTTTTCATTTTTTTTCCAAAGGTTAAAGAAGTCATTTAAATTTGATTGACCATAGATTATAGAAGCTTCCATGGAAAAAATGTTGAATAACATGGTGCTCATGGTAGATGACCTATGTGCCCCACCAGGACAATACCACCATTTGTAGTGATGAAAAAATGGATAACTACCAACTCATTGTGATAGCTCACATTATAAGACTAGCAATATTTCGAGGTTATAAATTCCAATTATCGATTCAATATTTGTGTATAGATTGTTATTAGGGCTGACAATCGAGTTGAGCTATTCGGGTTTGGATCGAATTCAACTCGAGCTTAATTCGTTTAACATTTTTTTTAATTTTATTTTAAAAAACGAGCCTAAAAAGAGTCAATTCGATTTCGTAAAATTCTGTTCGCTTATATGTAAAATAGTTGAGTTTTTTAGAATTTGATTTATTTTAGGCTCGACTCTTTTTTTAAACGAACTAAATTTAAACAATTTTTTAGAAAAACAAACTTGAAAGACCGTAAAATTCAGTTCGATTACAAATCCTGTGATAATGTAATATTTCAAGAATGTAAGTTAACGTTTTTGATTGATTTGATGTGTATAGTGGTTGTGGCTAGTTATGTGAATCGAAAATTTTTATCATAAGTCTTGAATATTAAAAAGTTTATGATTGAAATGATTCTCTAATTAAAAGACAACATCCTATGGTTATGTGGCTGGTTAATTTTAGGAATAGTTGGAGACTATTTCTGTTCAAACAGTGGAACCAACCCCCTTTGAGAAAAGGAAGAAGTTGATAGTCAACAAAATTATGGCATGGGGGGCCCATATGGGTCTATATAGTAATTGTTATGTTGATGATTTGATTCAATTTAAAGCTAGATTCAAAAGCTCATTAATTGCTATATATAAGATAAGCATGCCTAACATGGTGGTATGATCATGTGGGTCTGGACTTAGACATTGTATTGGATTATTTTCAATCATGAGCAACAGATGTTCAGAGAGAACAGTGATCAGATGGTAGAGAGAGAGAGAGAGAGAGAGAGAGAGAGTTCACCTCATTTTAGCATGAGGCTGCCACATGGTATAGATTTTAGGTTGTGTATTGGTCAATATTGAGCTTGAGATGTGGTGGAGATAATATATTTTATATTTTTCTTCTGGCCAGTTGTAGTTGTTTGATTGACACTTTTTTGGACACCATGTTTAGGGTTTAGTTGGTGACTTGAAGGGGTAAAATTTGAACTTTCTTTTAGATTTATTTGTGAAATAAGTTATAAAAAAGTTCAACTCAAACTCGTAAAATTTAATTTGTTTATATGTAAAATCGAGCTATTAAGGTTTGACTCAAATTCGACTTGTTTTTGGCTCGATTCGGACTCGATTTATTTTTTAAACGAGTCAAACATGAATAAATTTAGGTCTATTTAAAAATACAAATTCGATAGATTCGACTTGAACTCACAAAACTTGATTGGATTGTGAGTCCTATTCACTCCATTAATTTTGAATAAACAATAAGTGATTTTTTAAGGTTCCAATGTCCAAACAATAATATCCGAAGTTAATATGATAAGATTAAGTTACAATCAAATAGACTAAATCCTAACCTATTAAAATCGAG